CACCATAGATGGCAAATGGGAGAAAAGGGTTAGTGCTTCTTGATTTCCTAAAATGATAGATAATATGAAACAAGTAAAAAGTGTCAATGTGAGTATGTGACAATTAAATGTAAAATAATATTTGCTTCATCCAGATGTTTAAAAGGGACAAACACTTGTGTACTTGAACCATTCACATCACAACTCTAAATAAATGAAAAGTTCAATTCAATGACAAAACGAGTTTATGGTTGCTACAAACAACAGTCTCCCCATCCAGCATAAGTGAATAAATGGGTTCGGTACGTTCACCCAATTCATTTTAGCGAAGTAGGCTATGTAAGTTACAAACTTACAAATCTATATCCTTCCTTAAAAATTGAGCTAAGAAATGTAAAGGGAAAACCATTCAGGATATAAAAAATTTCCCATAAACTTACTTTTCTGCAGTTCCTCTGGTGACAATTTCTGCAATTATGACGAGGCAAATAACATTAGATACAAAACAACAAAATAAAATACCAATGTGTAAAAGTAGGCAAATATATACCAGAGCTTTCGGGTTAGACAGAACGCATCTTGCCATAAAGTTGGCAACTCCATCTACCACATGTTCCTCACTGATGACCAAGTAACTCTCATCATCAATTCCACTACATTCCTCAACATTACATGGCTCACCTGCAACCCACACCCACCAACTGGGTTCTTGTGAGTCAACATTGATCAAAATGTCAGCAGAGTGATAATCAACCTCTGTCAATGTCAACAAAAACACCAGAATTTTGTCAATATCCAAGTAGTTCAATGCACACAAGACATACATTCATAAGCAGAGAAATTTAACTAAATACCAGAGGCCTCCTTAAAAGGAAATTGATTTCCACTACTGACACTTTCCTGTTGTAAGAACTTAAGCCGTGTCAGGTACTCATCAGACCTCACAGTCTCAACTAATCGATCATGCAACTGCAACCAAATAGAAACGTTCACAAATGGTTGAAAGGGTAAATATAATTAGTAAAGATACCCAAAAAGAGGGGCGGTAAAATAATAATTATAATCATTGGAATGAAATTATGAAATGCTTCCTATTTAGCAATTGCAGATCAAATAATATTTCACAACATGATTGAAGGATACCCAAAATAATTTAATTTGTATCCAATTATAGCAAGGATTAAGGAAGTAAGGAACTATTAGCTACCCAATTCCTAAAACAACTTTTTCCCCAAGAAATTAGTTTATTGATGAAATTTGGCGATTTCTGGAAACAGAATTCTCGCTTGTGATGATCAGCTTACATACATTTACCCTCCCCAGACCCCACTGACTAGGAGCCTCATGTATTGGCCACGCCTTTCAATGGAATTTAGCTAATAATTAAGGAGCTAGTAGTTCTCTATTCAAAAACAACTTTTCTATCAGAAATTTGCTTCTTTCATAAAATTAAGGATCCTTTGTTTAGACTTCCAAAAACAAAGTAGTTTTCCATCAATACTTTTGGCAGAAATACTTATTTATTCGAGCTTCTTCTAAAACCAGATTTTATTAACTTTTTTTTAATTCAATCAAAACAGCATATGAATTCAGAAATCTTAAGAGACAAAAAACTAAACAAGAGGGCTCTAAATTGTTTTGCATCCAATTACTAAGGAAAGGGAAGTATCCACTTCCCCCTCAAAACCTTCACTTTTCTTATGAAACTATCAACTCAATCGATAAAAAAAGAAAATTATACTTTAATAGCTTAATTGATGAAATCAAATTAGTCAAATTTCAAAGGCACATAATTAGAGAAAGAAACTAAAAAAGTAAGGTATATAATATATACATCGGGAGGGCAATTATTGAGGAAGGAAGGTGATTCAGATAAATTATGAAGAAGCCCCAAATTCTGGTCAAGCAATTTCCTAAGACGCCGATTCTCAGATCTTAGTGACTCAAAATCGTCGTTTTCGGAGCAGTGATGGTCGGCGGTGGCGGGTGGATTGTGGGTGGAGATGGTGGTTGAATTCCACGGCGGTCCAAGCAACGTCGGCGACTTCAAGCACCGTCTTGGCAACCTCGACGGCGTCACGGGTTCGCATGATTTGATATTTGACTATGACAGAATTTTGATTTGGGGGAATATTTTCTTCCCCAATCCCTAATTTGTGTGCGTTTTCTTTTTCTTTGGAAGTTTTCACAAGAAACGGGTTGTCCTTTCCACGTGTTGTGTGCAAATTTTCATGGGAGCCGATTTTGTCGTTTTACATTTACGCCAAACAGTATTAATTATTCATTATAATGTTTTTTTTACACTGTTAACATATTTGACATCATTCATTTTTTAAATATAATATTAAATATTAAATTTCTATTGATTGTATATAAATTTTTACATCAGCAATACATATATTACATTATTTGAACGAAGTAAATTTTTAAACTTCGGCTAAGATGTCTTATGGGCTTGTTTTTTTAATATTCTTATTTTTCTTTTATTTCTTTTGTTTTTAGTTGGGCCTTTAGTTAAAGCCCATTTTCCCTTTGTTTTCTGCATTATTCTCAAATTGATTTTTCAATAAAAGATCAGAGGTTCTTCTTTGTTCTCTCTCCATGCAAACCAATAAAAATTAAAGCAACCATTATTGTATTTTAAATAATGGGAGAGATTCACTTACTCTTGACCTACTCCACATCTTAGATATCCAATTTTGAAAAATTCAATGGGTTAGATGTATTTATCAATTCAAACTATTGAATTTTTCAAGAATGAATGATCATGATGTGAAATAGGTTTTTTTTCAATTACTCCAAGAGTAAGTGGATTCCTCCCCCTTACTAACCCAAAAATATGGTTTGGTTTGAGTTGCTAACGTACTTGGTTATGGCATAATTATGTACAACCCTGATAGAGATGAGATATAGTGATTCAAATTCAATAAAGGTAAGTTATATGAGATGCAATAATTAAAATTGGGATGAGTATCAAGTAAGAGGGTAACTAAGACTAAATACGATGTTACTATGAGATGTGAGTTAAATATGTGTGAATGACTTTGAATATATCAAGCATGAGTTCATGGTTCAAATTAAGTTCAAACCTTAGACTTAGACCAAACATTATTGATCATTAAAATAAAAAACTTGAACTATCATGAACCCAAAAAAATGTTTGCATTTAGCTGTAACAATAGTGTTATTAACAAATAATAATATTTTTTGTTTTTTAGGAAGTATAATGTTAGAATGAAAATAGTTTATGTGATTTGTATTGGTCAAAGTAATTTCTATTGTGTTTTTAAGTATTTCATACATGCATATGTATTTTTAAATTTCAAATAAAATTATTTAAAGAACACTTATTTTTTGTTTATAACTTATGTCATATTTTAATGTTATATTTATTTAATTTATTTTAAGAACACTTTTACTGCGCTTTTTTTAGATGAGTTATTTTTTAAAATTTAAATATATTTTCTTTATTTAAAGTTATTTATTAAGTAGTAAATTAAGACGAAATAGAAGATACTTTTTGAGAATTATGCTGGGTAACATTACTTAACCCAACAACATCCCTCAAGTTCTCAAAGATTATATTTAGTAACGATGGGTTTGCAAGTTGAATTTTGGAGGGAAATGAATAAAAATATAAAGTCTGAGGGTCATTTCATAAGTTTATCTCCATGATCTCATTATCTTTCATTTCCCTCTGAAATCCAACTCACAAATGAGAAAAATAAAATAACAGAAGAAGTAAAGTAAATTAAGAGCAGAGACATAAAAAAGAGAGACGAGCAAGTTCCAGAAATTAAACATCAAAAAGCTTACAGAAAAGTGTAACATAAGAAAATGCAGCCACTAAAGCATGCATTTCTGAAAGATACAGAATCTTTCTTGACCTAATTTTAATTAGTAGGAATATTTATAATGCAAGTCCTAATAAAGGACCTAAGATCTTGTGGCATGTAGGACACTCTTCCCTTCTCCTTTAACCTGAACAGGGACATTGACCTCTATGCTGTCAAAAATGTTTGATCCTGATATTGTTTCATCCTTTATTGGCAATTCTTTGTCTTTCCCTGAACCCGTTGTGTTCACACTGTCCTTTTTTTTCCCCATACCACAGTGTAAAGCCCGGTCACAATTATAATAGCTCCAATTATGCTGTACAACACAAAATAAATAACTTAGGACATGGAATAATGGAACACATTTTGATTTTAAATAAGGACTGTTAATTAAACATTGAATGATTACCTTCCTAGATGAATTTGCTCAGCTAAGATAATGGAACCCAATGCAGCCGTGATAATCATGCATAATGGGCTGAAAGAAGTTACAAATACTGGTCCACGTTCTCTCGTTACTACTCCTTGTATATAGTATGCCATTCCGGAACACACCACTCCCTAATATTAATTAAGCTAATTAATCTCAATCATTGAAAGACTAAATAATTGATTAATGATCTAACTAAGAGTATATATTGAGAAAATATCGCAAAGCTTGATTAATAGCATTACATCTAGCAATTAAGAATATATGTTATTCGAGCTAGCGCTAATTCAATAGCACTCCTGAAATGTCTATCCAATTTAATAGCGCTTGCGTTAATGCATGTGGCTAATTATGCATGCGGCTAATTATCCTTTGTCTTGTTTTTTACAGTGTTATTCTAGTAAGCATCGTTGAATGACCGTTGTTAATTGCGATATCTGGTGTAGTGTAATTTATCATGCACATTAGTTAAGAAAAGATACTCACAGAATAAACACAAGCTAGAAGCCTTGAGTCCCATCCTATGGACCACACGCTCATGTCACGTTCAAAGATAAGTGCTGCAATTGCACCCTCAAAAATACCCAGAAAGCAAATCCAAGATGTCATGGAGAGTTCTGCTGGGTACAACTTCAAAGTGAAAGGACTAAAACCCACAAATCATAACACAAGCAAGATTCTTAATCAGTTAATGAAAATTATATGAACATAAAAAAATAATGTGCATGAAAATGTGTGTATATATATATATAGTAGGCCATGTATACATACTTGCAATATAAAGAAACTAGCCCAACCACCACAACTTGCAATGAGCATTAGTGTTCCAAGAGAACCCAGTGTTGGTTAGAGGCATCGGTTGCTGGAACTATGATGTTGGCTACCACCTTGTCCTTTTATGATCTGAAGCTCAGGGCCTTTGTATAAAGTCATAACCATGGCTCCTGATACTGTAACCTGCGGTTCCAATTACCTTCGCTAGGCTGTGTATTTTTTTCAAGTTCACTTTCTCTAACCTGGTAGCACATTAGAAGCATCATGATCAGATTAATTTCGTAAAGGAACCTTTTTTTTAAAGTATATTTCCTATTTGATAGTAAAATTTAGTAACATGAGTTTATAGAGAAAAATGTATGAAATGATAGTATATGAGTTATCATCTACCATTTTGAAGGTTTTAATTACCTGAAAACGAGTGCCATTATAAATGTAATTGCTGGAAGGACATTAATGGTGGCTGATGCAAACGTCGTTGAGGTGTACTTCATCCCCATGTTGTACAAATTCTGATCAAGCACTGGCCTATTTTGTTTTCATCACCACCAAAATTATCACTCCACAAATTAATTCACCATGTTGTATCCATGAACAAAACTTATAATATAGAAAAAAATAGTTCATGTAATGAAAGTTTAAGAGTTTTCTAGCATCTTTCACGTAATAGTTATACTCTGGAAGGATAGTGTAAGGTGTTTTACACAACAGTTAACTTAACAATTATCATCTCTTTAATGAAGGTAGTGTTTGTGAATGATTGATATCTTAGTCATAATGTAACAATTCTTACCTTACATACATATTAAACTCTATAATATATAATTTTTAACATTTTTACAATTTGTGCTAATAAATAAAGGATTTAATGTGTATTCACTTATATGTAAATATATTTTTGACAATTTTAGTTCAGCATCATCATTCATATATTAACTATTATTTATTCTTAAAAAATAAGGCAAATAAATAATTAATGATATATTAATAGTTCAATCTATCCTCTATCAACCTCAAGTTATATTTGCAGTGAGATCAATAATATTATATGCCTAACCTCTAGGTTTGATGATGAAATCCCTTTTCTAGTTTCATTTTTAATTATCTCAGAGTATTGTATGATAATGCCTATATATTTTTATTTGGATGATGGTACTAATATTTATTCAATTTTATTATTTGCACAATATTTCTACATCTAATGTTCTATTGAATGTTACGATCAAGCCAATGACTGAGCATACGAGACTCGATCTACTTGAGTGTCAATCATGCCCCTATGATCAAGATCTGTCCTGCATGATTGTTGATCATATGGACCATATTCAAGTCTGTTGATACGCCCGATAAAGATCCATGTCATCAGATTGTGGGCAATTGTTCCATCTTAGAATCAGGATTGGTTGGAGGCCAACAACCAAACATACAATAAATATGACTGACGATCATGTCGGGTGATTGACGTAGCTAAGGAAAAAGAATGATATCGACTTAACGGGACATGACATGTCAACACCTGCTATGCTGAAGAATCTTCCTTAGACCAAGACAAGGAGGTCATACCACATTAGAAGTAAGGGTTCATATTGTCTAAAGCTAAACGCCAAAGATAGTCTAAATTCGCAACAATGTTAGCCTGAATGTTATAAAAAATGACAAGACTATGTCATATGTAATGATGAGACCTCCCATTGAATGTAAGTCACTTCACTTCAGTATAAATGGATGAAGCAAACCATAAGGGAACAATATATATTCTATCTCTTTCTCTAAGTATACTCCTATAAATATTAACTTAGCGTAATAGTGCCTTTTTATGTACTTCAACAAAAGAAGAGTATCTAAGTTTGATAACTTCTCATGGAAAAAAAAGAAGTGTCCATGATTTCTCTTTTTTATAAAGGAAATTGATATAAAATCTTCTTAAAAAAATTCATTAGTTTTGTCCTTCACGGATCATGTTACACCGCAACATGATTTGCTAGCCTTTATTCGATGGCACGATTAATTAATTAAAACATTATATATATTTTTTATTGTCCGTTCATGGATACTGATTTAGGGATTTAATTTAATAATTATCACTTTTAAATGAAAGTTTATTTTCTAATTTAAGAACAATGATTTAAATTTTTGGTAGATATAGAAGTCATGACCGAGAAATATTGGGACAAA